GAGACAGAATAAAGGTCAGGAGGGCAGATCAGTCAATACTGAAATGCCACGAGTTTACTTTTTGACACTCTTATATACCATAACCAAAATGTGGAACACAGTATCATGTATATAGAACAAACAGACTTTTCCTCCTCATTCTAAGGGTTCAATAACCACAATTTAGCTCTAAACTTCTTGTTCCCTAGCCTTGAGATCAGGAGTAGCCACACCTCAGATTCAATTTCTCCTTCCCTAGCCTTAACAGTCAGGAGTAGCCACACCTCAGATTCAGGTCTGTTGTCATTTAGACTAAGAGTCTGAAACATCCTTCTGTAGCCACACCTTTGACCTTTAGGTCTTAGGACTTGCTGATAGCTTTGAACTCTCTGTCCTTGTGCCAAGATGCAGTACAGCCATCTTTATGAGCACCCACACATAAACCTGTGTGTGTGGTGATATATGATCTAATAAAGCTTACCTGGGGATCAGAATGCCAAGCTAGACACAGCCATAGAGGCCAGGCAGTGTGTGACACACACCTTTAATCCCAGGACTCAGGAGACAGAGGCAGATAGAGCTCTGTGAGGTCAAGGCCACCCAGGGCTACACAAGAGTGAATCAGTCTAAAAGAGAAACAGAGCTCATGCCTTTAATCCCAGCACTAGAGACATATATAAGAAGGGGCTCAGGGGCTCATCTAGCATTCAGTATTCTGGCATTCAGTCTTGGGTCAATTAGTCTCCAGCCACATTGCGGACAGGATCTCCCCAGCCTAGGTAGAGGTAGGAGCTCTCTGGTGGCTCGGCTGCTTTGCTACCCTGATCTTCAGCCTGAACCCCAATACCTGTCCCTGGGTTTTTATTATTCACACTACATGTGTACATACCTGATACACACAGAGTGTTAATGGATAATACTTACTGAACATCCATCTGATGAGCTGCAGGTACTATTTTAAATACTTGCAAAGAGCTCTTTGCTTAATAATACTTTCAAAGTGACCTTCTGATAATGGGGTCACTATTTTCCATTTTGTAAACGAGGATAGAACTAAGGGAAAGTGCTGTGATGTCTAAGCTCATGCAGGAGAGGAAGCGACTCCTCGCTTTCACCGTCAGAGTCTGGCACCAGGACCAAGCTCTTACTTTCTCTAACAGGTCCCACCCCCACCCCACTTCTCATTCGTGAGAAAGTTTAGCTTGGCTGTTTCCCATTCTCTCCATTGTGTTAGAAACAGACATTAGCTAGCAGTTCCCCAGCCTGTTATATCTTCCCGGACCCACGCATAACAATATTTCCCAGGCTGTTCCACCTGTGTTATAACTGGGTGAATGGATGTTAGCCAGAGGAGTATGGCCGGAAGACTGTGTGTCTCTTCCATGTCTGACCCATCCTACCTTTTATACATGGTACCCTATGTTCTTCCTCGTGAGGAAGGTGAGCGCATGGGCCTGGGGACATGAAAGATGGATCCTGGGTGCTGCTAGGGAGAAGAGCGGCAAACCGCAGAACACCAGTCAGTCTGAGAGGTCGAGAACCATGCTTCTGTCACCTGGTGACGTCATATGGGGTGGTCTCGTTGTCGCTGTCACGGCAGCTAGAGTTATTTGCACGGCGTTGGGCTGATCCACCCATTGTCCTCTTGGGTCTGTCTCTAGCACCTTGCACATACTTTTGTTGGGATTATCGTCCCCCTTTCAGTAGCTCACATCCTGAAATACGGAGTCCAGCCGCCTGGGAGCAGCTCTCTTCCACTCCAGCCAGCCACAGTGATAGAGCTCTCTCCCCAACTGCCTACAGCGCGGTTTAGTGCTTTGTCCCTGACAGCCTTCTTGTGTGCTCATCATAGTTCAGGTCTGCATAGCTTGGGTTTTTTTTTTTTTTTTTTTTTTTTTTCTTCTGTGAAGATTCCAAGTGCTTCAAGGTCAAAGGTCATCTTATGCTATTTGCATTGCTCTGAAGTATGTGGTGTGGTGTTGTGCCTCAAGAGTTTTCCATAAATATGCATGAGGAAAACGAGCTCATAATGTATTAGCTTCGATAAAGTACATTTTCCTAAGAACAGTCTTTCATTGCTGAAGCAAGAGGCATGGAAACTATAATTTACTGGGTTTGGGGTTGTTTTTCTTACTCTCCTCAGCAGTATACACGTTCTGATGTTTCTTGACAAGTGCTGAGAGGAGACAGAAGGAATGATTATCAAATTTCGGATGCGCATAGGCTAGAAGTAATAAATAATGTACAAGATGACAGAATCAAACTTAGACAAGTTGGAATGAAGCAAATGACTTACATAAGGATAAATTACAAAATTAGATTTGGAAAAATAAAAACAAGCTATGAACTTTCAGTATGGAAAACACAGACAACGCCTATTTATGGGGGAGACTTACCCATTTTGATCATATATTAAGCCAACACGGACCCTGCGTGACACACAGTCCCTATTCACAGGCTTGAGTGACAGAAAAGTGTTGAGTCTCCAATGATGGCTTCTGTGTTACATCCATGGCAACAAAGGGCAGGAGGAGAAAAAAAAAAAACCTTCTGGTTTAACCTGATTAGTCTAGACACGGGGTGAATTTTTTACTCTTTGAACAATGGTAGGAATCTTCCATCTAAAAACTATTGTGTGATTTCCAATGTTTAAGTTAGTCCTAATACAGAAGGGCGGGCCCCTTGAGAGTTTTGATTTGGAAGAACCTAGAAGGTCTTAGAGACCTTCTTTCCAGTGAGTAGTCATAGCTGTCCTTCACTGAACCCCTCATTCTTGAATCTGGAAGGTGCTTTATCAACTGTAAACTCAAGTCATCCTTGGGGGAAGGGAGAAAGGAATTCTCCTATTCACACTGGGTTCAGCTAGGACAACTACTGTCGGTTGGCCCAGGTGAGCTTGTTCCTAGATATCCAGACTTCCTAAAAGTTATGATTGGAATTCTAGCAAGGCGCTGGAGCATAGGCCTCAGCTGGGAAAATGCATGCAGTATTGACAGAGATTAGCACCTGCATGGGTTCTAGTGCTCAGATTGCAGGTTCATGTCACCATATCTGGTCCAAATACAGTATCCAATGATCTAAACGATCTTTAAGTTAGTAGACTACTGCAGAACATGAAGGGTGAAGGCAATAGTCTTCTTTTAGAGGAGCAACCTTGACTTTGAAGATGGTCTCCTTGAACAGAGCAAACACCCTGAATTAACTGCCAGAATGCCTGTCAGTTGGACACAAGAAGAACTTGTCTGAATCCTAGGTCTTAAAAGGGATATGACCGTGTTGGTATTCATCAAAAGAAAGACTACCAGGATGTTAAAGGGACTTTGAAACCAAATGAGCAGCTGCTTTCTACTGGGCCAAGCTTCATGAGTTCTGGGGTCAGGGTAGATGGCAGAGAACACAATCGCCTTCCATTGAGTTTGTGAATGCTGTCTTGTGAAAGGTTATTTTAGAGGTGTAGCTTCCAGTTTGGAGATGGTCCCCTTGAACAGAGCTGTGATGTGTGAAAGGGAAAAATGGTAGCTTTGTATCTCTTTGAAACAAAGGGAAGACTCCAGAGAAAGAAAAGGAAGGCCAACAAGGAATTCCGCAGTGTGCCTGCCCATGGGAAGGGAGAGGCTGCAAAACCTCTTCCCCAAGGTCAAGGAGCTGACCATGACACTGGGTGAGACAGTATGCATATTTCTATCTTAGGGCCAATCTGCTTGCTTCTTCTGGCTCTGTAGGCTCTGGGCAGAAACACATTAGAATCCAGATCTGGTTGCAGCGGGAGAAGTATTCTAGGGTCAGTTTTTGTTACCGGACTTTTAGGACAAACACCCTCAGCTCTGGTGTTTCCCATGGGCTACGTTCAGCCACCAGTCCCCCAAGGGAAGAACAGTGGTGAATGGCAGAGAAAGGAGACTTGGTCAATGTGGTTAGACGTAGAGATAAAGGGTTCAGTCCATCTTTGGGATCCTGACAAAAACTGGAGTAAGAGTTGGCGTGGGGCAAGAGGTTTGCGAAGTTCAGCTGTCTTTGCCGGAGGTGTGGCCCGTTGTTATTGCAGCCTACCTGCTTGGAGCGGGTACTCTAAGCTCCTCCGGGGTGACATCTCCCAGGCTCTGCTGTTCCTGGCATCCAAGGTTTATTATACCAGTGACTTTCAACCGCATTTTGGGAAGTCTGGAACAGGACATTGTGAAAGCCCACAGAGGCATGCCTCAGGCTTATCTCTGTGCCTTCAGCCTGGAGGTGGGTGAGATAGGTTAGGTATGCTGCTGTGCCGGTAAACAAGAAGAATGTAGAGACACCAGACTTTCCTTCCTCTTTTAATGGCCACATGGGCTTGAAGTATCAGGGACTTATTTTTGTTTGTTTGGGGTCATTTTGTTTTTTTTTTTTTTTTTTTTTTTTGAAAAGTTGTTTCTAGGTATGTTTTGTATCTGTGTGTCTGTCTCCTGGATTATTCTTTCTCGTGGGTTGGAAGGAATACATGCTTTGTACAATACTGAGTTGTATGTGGGACAACAGGTCAGTTTGGAGAAAGTCAAGGCAATATGGGCGAGGACAGGCAGCCACACAGGGAACCTGGGACCCTTGTGCCCGCTGAAGAAAGTGGGAAAGTTGATCTACAATCACCTCTCACCTAGTGCCCTGGCCATTAAATCCAGTAGAGCCTGCCCACTTTCCAGGCCCCCATGGGGGACCATGTGAGGTGAGCACCTGCTGTGGGATTCCACACGCCTAGGCCCAGGGAGGGAGTTAGAGCTGAGAAGTGGCCGGCCTCCACAAGCAGCCCTCTGGCCCAGGCTGAGCTGTTGCAGACGCCTGGGGCGCAGGAGTAGGCGCGCTGAGCTGGGCCGGCGCCCCGAGCTCTGGGCATGCTCAGTGGCGCAGGCAGGGCTCCGGGCGCGAGCCGGGCTCCCGCAGCAGCACATTCATCGGCTGCCAAGAGGAGCTGCCGGGCGCTTGCACGCTCGCAGACTCGCAGGTTGGGAGCACGCTTGCTCTCGGGAGGACCCGGCCGCCGCGCCAAACCCCGCCGCCGCCTCACCGAGCGAGAGCCATGGCCGGCCTCGGTCACCCCGCCGCCTTCGGCCGGGCCACCCACGCCGTGGTGCGGGCTCCGCCCGAGTCCCTGTGTCGCCACGCGCTGAGGCGCTCCCAGGGCGAAGAGGTGGATTTCGCTCGCGCCGAGCGCCAGCACCAGCTCTACGTGGACGTGCTGGGCAGCAAGCTGGGGCTGCAGGTGGTGCAGCTGCCGGCCGACGAGAGCCTGCCCGACTGCGTGTTCGTGGAGGACGTGGCCGTGGTGTGCGAGGACACCGCCCTCATCACCCGCCCCGGGGCGCCCAGCCGCAGGAAGGAGGTAACCGGCCAGCTCCGGGCAGGCGACGCGAGGGGCGCGGCCGGGGGACGCGCGTGGGTCCTTTCGCGCGTGGAACCGACCCCGCGGGCTCAGTTCCTAACTTAACACTGCGGGGCCCGGGGCGGTGTGGCTGGGTGTGGGAGATCCGCGCCAGACAAGTTCTGTATTCACACCTCCTGGCTGTCCCGGAGCCACCGAGGCCATCTCCGCTGGACCGTGGTGACGCGGACTCGGGCAGGTGGCTGGGCTGGGGACCCAGCTCGCCGGCATGTCTATCTTGCAAATCGCACAGTGCCAGAGACAATGTTACTCTCATTTCCTTGCCAGTGGGGACGGAAAGGGTCCTCCAGGAGGGCAGGTGGAGGGGGGGGGGTCCCCCAAGTCCTGCAGGGAGCTCCTGGCAGGACGGCTCAGGTGACATCAAGCAGCCGCTGAACCCAGCGACCAGAGGCGTCAGAGTTACTTTTTCAGTGGTGGCGAGTGAGTCTTGAAGAACGCGCCTGGCAAGCGAATGTGTTTAACGTTTTGTTAGTGAGCTGTTTAAGTGTGTGTGTGTGTGTGTGTGTGTGTGTGTGAGTGAATGGGCCTTGTTTGAAAAGCTGTGCTCACTGCGGGATTTTGGGCGTGTGCAGTTCATTAGCAGTGGCAGTTTTTTACAAGTTCAGTAATTTTTATTCTCTCTGTGTCTCGGTCTCTGTCTCGGCAATTAAGACCGTCGTTTTGTATTCTTCGAGGGGCGGGGTTAGTGCCTACAAATGATCGTATCTGGTGGAAATGGCGGTGACTGCTCTAAAAATACTGTAGGTTAGTGGGGGAGAGACACACACAGAGAGATTAGGTTTTAAAATGCCATCAGGCCTGGGATTCTTATCACCGCCCCGGAAGAGCCCAGGCTCAGAATTCCCCCCCACTCTTGGCATCCATCAGCTAACCAGGCGCAGGTGGTTACTTCATATCTGGAGGGATTTTTTCCCCCTTTCAGTCAATTTAGAAATAGTTCATAGGGCTTCTAAGTTAAATATGGGTGTTCCACACTTGCTCTGCTTGCCTGGTGAAGCCATACGGAGACTGAGTGTAATCTAAGTGCACCTATTTGTCATTTAGGTAATCAACTTTTCTTCCCACACTCTTGGTTACCAGAAAACCAAGAGTAACGGGCCTCATTCTCAGAGCCTGTTCACTTTCCTCCCGTCACACCTTTCCAGACTGACCTGTGCAAATGGCTCCCACTGCCATATTGGGTTTTAACTTAATATGCATGCAGCCACGGTGGAGAGCTTCTGATGCATTCTTGCCGTATGGTACTACAGTACTTAAAAGAGTGAAATCAACTTCAAAAACTCTGAAAATGGCACTCCTTTGATGAGTCTTCATTTCTTCTCTTAACCGTCACTGTCCTTATTCACGGCACTTGACTTCTATCAGGGCACATCTCTTTGTAACACAAATACTATATTGTTTGTGTAATTAACTTTCCCAGTTTGGTTTCTCCAATATAAGAGTTGGCAGTGATCTTTCTCCTGGAGAGATTTTGGCATTTTAGACATCAGAATTTGGCTGCGTTCTGCAGTCATCTCAGTGACCTACCGTTCCCAGAGATCATACAGAACTCCTGTGTTTTCTTTTTCTACTTAGGGCACTGAACCCAGGACCTTGCCCATAGTAGGTATGCATTCCATCACTGAACTACAGCCCCGGGCACAGAAATCACATGGTGTAGCGATTAAGAGCGTTGGGCCAGGCCTCTCTTCTTTTGCTTAAGTCCTGTGTCTCTAGGGATGTGCCCTTCACTTGTTTTTCTCACTCTAGGGTGGGCATAAAGATTTCATAATGCTGTGAGAAATATGTAAATCCACCTGAAATCCGAAGACAAGGCATTTAGTAAGTTGTCGGCTGTTACTGTAAGTTCCGGGAATAGGACGTGGTCAGCTACATATTGATGTCACTAGAGGTGCTTCTGTGGTCCCAGGTGGAGCCAAGCCATCTTAATCTGTTCTGTGTCACTGCCATCTGACCTCTCCGAAAAGCACCCTTGCTCCTGCATGTAATCTGAGCCACTAGGGTAAGGAGCCTCCTAGCTCAAGAGGATGTGTGCAGTCATGGCCGGAGAACAGGGCTATGCAGGGTGACCCTTGTTAGTGTTTCTCACAGCAGTTTATTACCTTGGCAGGTATGGATGCTTGATGGAGGGATAAATGAATGAATGGGTGGATGAAAGAAAAATATTGAACTTCAAGTGTTGATGCTTGATTGTTGAATGAATGAATGAAGTACTGAACAGACAAGATGATAGCAACTTCAGGTATTGATGCTTATTGGATGGATGGATGGATGGATGGGTGGATGGATGGATGGATGGATGGGTGGATGGATGGATGGATGGATGGATGGATGGATGGATGGAAGAAATGCTAAGCTTTAGGAATAGATGTTTGGTGAGTGAGTGAGTGAGTGAGTGAGTGAGTGAGTGAGTGAAGTCATCAGTCAGTTGAAATGTTAAACAGACAAGCTAATGGTGACTCCAGGATACTTTTTGAACTGGAATACATCTTTGTGTGTGAGAACTTACAGCAGCCAAGGAGTCATTTTTAAAATCTCATCATTGCTATCACTGCCCTGGTCACTTCACTCTCCATTACATCTCCAAGGCCAAGGCGGTCAACTCAAATGTGATCCTGCTCTGGACAGAGTTCTGGGGTGGGGGGTGCCCACTGAGCTGGGCTCTGCGTTTTCAACTCTAGCTTCATCTCTGCATCTCTGCCTCAGAGCATGCCCATCACTTGACTCAGACTCTTCATTCTTTCATTCATAAGTCCATCTTTCTGGACACACACAAATCCTTCCTCTCTTCCCTTTGGCTGGCTGCTCTTGGCCTGCTGTCCCCATCAATACAATTTTAGCTGACTTTCACTGGGTACTTACCATTTGCCAAAAACTGCCAGGTTTGTGATGTGCATTTCATCAATGTTTATTCAACAGTATCAATATTGATGAAACAAGGAGAGATACAGAAATTGCCCAGGGTTACAGAGTGGCACCAGTTTAACCAGGATCTGAACTCAGGTGTGCAGGATTACAAAACTCTGGTCCTACTCTGAGATGTTAGACATTGCCTTTCCCTTGCTGAAGAGTCTTCTCCCTCCACCGCATCTGCCCCCCTTCTGATGTTTTTTATAGCCTGTGCTTGCCTGCCTACAGCTCCATACCCTCCACTATCTTGTAGGAGCAGGGATCTTGTCTACATTGTTTCATATTTTGTTTCCAAAAACCTAATGCACAATAGAAGATATTTTGATGAACAAATGTTGCAAGCACTTTCCCACCTTGCCCCCAGCCTGGTCCCAGAGCCCAGTCAGTGCCAAAATAACACACAGACTCAATTAGTTATAAAGCTGTTGGCCAATGGCTAGAGCTTCTTATTGGCTAGCTCTGTCTTAAATATTAACTCATTTCTATCAATCTAAGTGCTTCCACATGGTCTTATCTTATCTTACTGGGGAGAGGATCCAGACCTCTTACTTCTCCTGTGTCTTATATCTTGACTCCTCTTTACTACATCTCCCAGAATCCTCGTCTCCTAGTCCCGCCTGTCTTGCTTTCCTATAGGGTAACAGTGCTTTATTCATTAATCAGTAAGGGAAACATATTTACAGAATGACATCTCCCATCATCTCCTCTTTTCTATCTAGAATAAAAAGAAGGGTTTTTAACATAGTAAAATATATAACAAAATAGAACTATAGTTAACAATACTTAGTCCATTAACATCACGAATTAAAGAAAATATATCATCTATCCTATCTTTGTGAGTCTAAAGTATTATATGTAATTTATCTTTAATCCTAACTAAGGAAAACTATAACCATAATTATCTGTCTTCAACTCCATCAAAGACCACAGAAGAATAATATATAAACTCTAGAAATGAGGGACTTGGAGTTTTGTTTTTGTTTGTTTATTTGGGTTTTTGTTGTTGTTGATTTTTTTTTTTTTTTTTGAGATAGGGTCTCACACAGTAGCCCAAGTTAGCCTGCAACTTACTATGTACCCCAGGCTATAGTCAACTTGTGGCAATCCTCCTGCCTCAGCATCCCAAGTGCTGGGAGTATACGCATGATCTACCAACACCCAGTTTTGGTGACATATTTGGTATTTTACAAGCATGCCAAGTTGGTAGAGTCACACAAATTTTATTATGAACATGAGTAGTTTATAACTTTAGCCCTCTGTCCTTCCCTGACTCTTCTTGTCATTTATTATTAGTTTTTAATAAAAAGTCTTGAGAAAGGGTTCCTTAATCAAAGCATCATGCTGTGTTTTATGACATTTCTTCCTTAGAAGAAAGAACTAAGACCCAAATTTCAGAGCTTTTTTGAGAAAACCCAATGTTTGCCTCAGTCGGCAATTCCTGGGACTTAGATGCTATGTGCAAGAAGCTGCAGAGTTGGTGAAGACAACTGTATGCACAGAAAATCAGCCAACAGTATCCACTGACAGCTCTACATCTACAAGTAAGGATATTTTTTAATAGGTTTAATATTTAGGAAACAAATCAACTTGGAGAAGACAATCACGTTTCAAATTAATCCTCTCTCTCTCTCTCTCTCTCTCTCTCTCTCTCTGTGTGTGTGTGTGTGTGTGTGTGTGTGTGTGTGTGTGTGTGTGTATTTTAAGGTAAAGTCAACTCTTGAATGTCAAAGTCCTATAAACTAGGACTGAAGACAGTGAAAGGGACGAGGGGTGTTTTAATGATTAAACATTCGGTGTGGACAATGATTTCCTAAGTTCAGTGTGTACCGAGGGTATGTGGTGTTCCATTTTCTTCAGTTTCCTTCCCCAAGGGTTTTAGTACCTAATACATGATTAACCGACAAAGCTTACTTAAACAAAATTGTGAAATGTATCCTCTGCCCTCCCTCTCCTCCTCTCCCCACTGAGAGCAATTTTATCCTTTCCCAGACACGCGGGATAAATCTGTCCAGGAGAAAAACCACACCAGT